ACCGTCGAATTTATCTTTTATTATTGTTCCAACTTCCCTGCAGCAGTATCTTCATTTACTGAGATACTACAGGAGTCTATGAGGTAGTAAGCCGGAATCGCTTTTCATTTTCAGGAAAAAATTTTCAAATTTTTCATGAATTTTCGAAAAGTCTAATACTTTCGTTCGTTGTCCACTGTATTTTACTACTTCATATTTTATAACACTATATCTTAAGCGAATGATTTGTCGAAACGGTTATAAGGTTTTTCTGAAAGTGAAGATGGAAGATAGGAGCGTTGACGAGTGAGGAAGACGGTCGGTGATTTTGGTGATCTAGTGCGAAGCTGCAAAAACAGATTTTCTCTCTCAAACCTCGCTGTATTTCACTATTTCATATTTTCATTACATTATACTTTGCCATGTTTTATAATAATTCATAACTTTTTGCGTGATATCCCGGTGACTACAAAATAAATTCGCTAAGCAAGGCATGTTTCATGATTTGCTAATAATCGGTAGACGCCACGCATCAGTGAACGGTGTTTGCAAGAAGATGAGTGATTCATCGGGCGGCGTCCAAAAAGGCGGTATGCATGGCATGTGTTAAGTAGAATCAAGTTGTTCAAGCCTGAAGAACCTGGCATAAATACGGCCTTTGTGTGGATTCTTCCCAGTGGTACCGCTTACAATCGAAGGAGGACAATGTATTCCGGACAATTCTGAGAGTTTTAGTATAGAAGATAGCGCCCAGACTGTTGCTGCTTACCTAAAGGTTGGCATCGATTTCCAGCATGTCTTCATATCACAGGAGCCACTCAGACCGTGACATTTGCATTGCTTCCGGGTGTTCAGCTCCAGTACCTGAAACACAAAAAAATAGGATAATATTTTTTTTTATAACTGATTTTCTTTATGAATCGGAGACAGTCAAAAGTTTCTTTCTTTATGAACCGATGAAATCGCATGTACAAATGCAGCTTCTCGAGTACCATGCCTTAAGATTATGTCGACGAACACTTCCATAGTACTCGAACTGATTAGCAAGCAGTTACACCTTAATTTATTCAGTCTTTCAAATTCACAATTTCCTAACATGACATCTTATAGAAACTTTTTAAAGGATACGGTATCTTTTGAGCCCACCATTTTCTGTTGGAAAGTGGCCCATGTATTAGCATATGCTAGCAATCATGCTGATTTTGAGTTTAAGGAGACGCACACGGACTGGGGACATGCTTGTAAAATTTTAACTTTCTAGTTTCTCGAACTGCTGAAATGAAAGTGGGAGACAAAATTCAAACATACCGACACACACGGATAACCTCTCGACAATGTTTTATTAGTTATGCAAAAACGCATAAAAAAGTGATTATTATCCTCTAATGTTAGTTTATAAGGCCACAGAAAGCTGTGGTGCATACGATGTTCCTTTTGCAAGGTATACAAACCAGTGCAGAATAGGACCTCTTATTTTCACTATCTTCAGATTCTCCGTACTGTGAAGATTTATTCACAAGCTGCAAGGAAAATTGATTTTTAGCCTCTTCTCTCATTTAACAAAGAGTAAAGGGTCTCACTTGTCTTCCAGCATTATTATTGTGCAAGTTCATGATTCTCCTCTCCACTGTCTGATTTTTTCCCTTTTCGGCGGCATCAGCAAAAGCTCGTGAAACAGCTACACCATAGCGAACATTATCCGAGCATCCATTCCAATTGTACTGCTCCGTTCGTTTCAAGGCACTCAGATCACATCCGCACTTATCAATCAGCCCTTTTGAGCAATCCCTGCAATTAGCCATCGATCCATAATTCTCCGTTTTTAAAGCGTTTAACAACGACTATATTGATTTAATCTGCGAATCAAGAACAGCAAGATTTTGCAGACAATTGATACGGGGTTTGCTATTTTAGTAATATTACTGGAATGTTTCTTACAGGCCAGACATAGCTATGTTAGGCCCTTCAATACTTGACTTAATACTCTCAGTTATTACCTTTCACATCCTGTAATACAGGTCTCGGACTCGAAAATGTCACTTTAATTTTCTGTACGAAAGAAGAAATAAAAGACTGATCTAGATGACAGCAGTTTGCCAACAACAGTCAAAGGGCCCCGGCGGCTACTTCTGCCAACAGTTTGACTTAAAGCCACTAGTTTCTCCGGCCTTACTCTAAGGCAGGTCTAAAACTTAAGTCAGGATCAAAATCCTTCACGTATTTCATTTTTCATAACAGACAGACGGTAAATCCTTATAAGAGATTATGCAGTTATGTGTAATACCACGAGGAAGTAGACTATTACTCAGGTAGCACTCGAAGAGGTGGTAATATCGAACAAGCAGTGGATATTAGCTGCAGGTGCGCAACTCAGGATCGAAGGTCCCGGCACAGCTGCGTTCGGCGTGTAGGAATGTACCATTAGCGTCACTAACAAGGTATTTCTCAACAAGCATTAAAGTTGGAGAAATAACTCAGTTAGGGGCCTCCCAAGCTCTAGACGAAAACTTGCTGTAGCATAAGCAAGTTATTGATTTCTTATACAAAATAAATGTTTTACTAGAAATAAAGCGAACTTTGTAATACGGTAGGCAATACCAGCTGATGAAATCGCATGTACAAATGCAGCTTCTCGAGTACCATGCCTTAAGATCATGTCGCCGAACACTTCCATGGTATTCGGGTTGATCAGCGAGCAGTTCCACCTTAATTTATTCAGTCTTTCAAATCCACCATTTGTTTATATGTCATTCTAAAGGAATTTTTTAAAGGATACGGTACCTTTTGAGCCCTCTTTTCTCTCCTGGAGAGCAAGAATGGGAGGAGGGAGGGGATGCTTTTCTTTTAAT